TCCATTTGGAGACCCCTGGCCTTCCTGCCTGTTACCCTCTCACTATCCAGTCCCCTTTGTACTTTGCTGATTTGTCCAGTTCACTTTTCTAGGTTACAGTTTGGCTTATCAGTCATAAATACCCACCCAAGAAAACCCTGACCATCACCAAGCCTATCTTCACTTGGGCTCTTCTACTTGCCAACTGAAATTACTTACTGATTGGGAAAAATGCTTCCACTTAGAAACCAGGACAAATAGGATGCATCCAGTTATTTTGCAATGAATCTTTTGTCCTTCATTAACACAGACTTTAATTTTACTGCCCCAAATAAAAAGCCAGAGATGAAAAACAAGAGCTCAGTTTTTTATTTCATCATTTCTTGCATTTGAAGTACTCCTCGATGACATCCTTGGCCTGAGATTCTTTGCCATAGTCCTTAACTACCACACAACTGCAACCAACCACTTTAGGGGTTTTCCCTCTCTGTCAATTTTACAGAGGCCTACCCATTCCCCTAGTTTCTTGTTGTCATCAACTTTAATCAGGTTGATCTGATGCTCAGCACAAAGGGCCTCCACCAACTTGACATACATGGGCTCATCACAGTTGGATGCAAGCACACACAGATGGGCCTGGCGCTTGTCTAAAGCTTTCGCGGCTTCGCGAATTCCACGTGCTAAGCCATCGTGGATGAGGGCGGTCTTCAGCACCTCTTGCAGAGCAGTATTAACGTCCATTACACCTCCAGCAGCAATGCCTTCCTCGGCCATGGCGGTGGGTTACGGGTGGAGCCGAATCTTGAATGCACCCGAGCCTCCGCCTCCGCGCGGGTCCGCGGCGGCAGGGAAAGAGCCCCATAAAGCCTTTTATGTTAGCAAAAAAAAAACAAAAAAAAACCCCTCATTTGAATTTTTGCTCAGTAAAGCCCCACTGGAAACCCCACTCTCTGCTCCCCAATCATCCATCCAGCCGGAGCCGGGGTGTGCTCAGCGGGGCAGGGCCAGCACGTGTCCTGAACAATCAGCGCACAAACACAGCTCCAGGGTTCTCTCCTCTTGGAGACCCCCTCTGTTTTTTTGCTCAGAGATGGAACATAAAGAAGCACTCCCCTGACTTCTCTTTGCTCCAGAGTTCTGTGCAGGTAAGAGTGACGCAGGATGGACCAGGGGCTCCTGAGTCTATAGTTACAGGGACAGGGTCCTGAGACCCGCTCTGCCCACAGAGATGCCATCACCACACCAGCTGCAGCATCAGAGACACCGTCTGCGTCTGCAGGGAGCATCTGCTGCGTCTCCAATGAGAAGCGAATGTTTTCCTGGGCACAATCCTCCTCCTCCTCAGATCAGAAGAGAAAGACAGAGGGAGAGAGACAGGCAGTGAGACAGAGACAGAGAGAGACAAGAGGGAGATACAGTGAGACACACACACAGATAGAGACAGAGAGAGATACAGTGAGAGACACAGAGAGAGAGACAGAGACAGGCAGAGCGTGTGTGCGTGTGTCTGACACAAAGTAGCCTGCCAGGCTCCTCTGTCCATGTGACCCCATGGACTGGCCCACCAGGCTCCTCTGTCCATGGGATTGCCCAGGCAAGAAAACTGGAGTGGGCGGCCATTTCCTCCTCTAGGGGAGCTTCTTGATCCAGGGATCGAAACCACATCTGAGTTTCCTTCCATTGGCAGGTGGATTCTTCACCACTCCACCACCTGGGAAATCCCTGACTAAGGACGACTGATGGCAATTATCCAGATGATTGCAATGGGGAGTGGAACAGCAGGCAGAAGAGGCTCTCAGCCTTCTCTGTGGTAAGACGCGGTTCAGAATTAACACTGAGATTAGGCATTAACGGGACACTCCGAGGTGCATCAAGAACTTCCTTTGTGGGACTTCCTTGGTGGGCCAGTGGTTGAGGATCAGTCTTGCAATNCCTCATTTGAATTTTTGCTCAGTAAAGCCCCACTGGAAACCCCACTCTCTGCTCCCCAATCATCCATCCAGCCGGAGCCGGGGTGTGCTCAGCGGGGCAGGGCCAGCACGTGTCCTGAACAATCAGCGCACAAACACAGCTCCAGGGTTCTCTCCTCTTGGAGACCCCCTCTGTTTTTTTGCTCAGAGATGGAACATAAAGAAGCACTCCCCTGACTTCTCTTTGCTCCAGAGTTCTGTGCAGGTAAGAGTTACCCAGGATGGACCAGGGGCTCCTGAGTCTATAGTTACAGGGACAGGGTCCTGAGACCCGCTCTGCCCACAGAGACGCCATCACCACACCAGCTGCAGCATCAGAGACACCGTCTGCATCTGCAGGGAGCATCTGCTGCGTCTCCAATGAGAAGCGAATGTTTTCCTGAGCACAATCCTCCCCCTAATCAGATCAGAAGAGAAAGACAGAGGGAGAGAGACAGGAAGACAGAGTGAGACAGAGAGAGAGAGACAGGGAGAGATATAGTGAGAGACACACACAGAGAAAGAGACAGAGAGATACAGTGAGAGACACAGAGAGAGACAAATAGAGAGAGACAGGCAGAGCGTGTGTGCGCGTGTGTCTGACACAAAGTAGCCTGCCAGGCTCCTCTGTCCATGTGACCCCATGGACTGTGGCCCACCAGGCTCCTCTGTCCATGGGATTGCCCAGGCAAGAAAACTGGAGTGGGCAGCCATTTCCTCCTCTAGGGGAGCTTCTTGTTCCAAGGATCGAAACCACATCTGAGTTTCCTTCCACTGGCAGGTGGATTCTTCACCACTCCACCACCTGGGAAATCCCTGACTAAGGACGACTGCTGGCAATTATCCAGATGATTTCAGTGGGGAGTGGAACAGCAGGCAGAAAAGGCTCTCAGCCTTCTCTGTGGTAAGACGTGGTTCAGAATCAACATTGAGATTAGGCATTAACGGGACACTCCGAGGTGCATCAAGAACTTCCTTTGTGGGACATCCTTGGTGGTCCAGTGGTTGAGAATCAGTCTTGCAATTCATGGGGTGTGGGTTCGATCCCTGGTCAAGGAACTAAGATCCCACAAGCTGGAGCAACTAAGCTTGTGTGCTACAACTACTGAGCCTTCGAGCTTGGGACAGTCGGCCGTTTGTGCCATTAGCCACACGGCGCCTCATCACACACACAGGGTTCACTGGGACAGTTGGAATGCCTTCTGTGGCCAGTGAAGTCTCGGCACCCCCATTCTCAAAATGGGCTCAGGTATGTCTTGAGACCCTCCCTCAGACTCACCTCTAGGCTGTATTCTCAAGAACTGGAAAAAAAATTTGACCCTGAAAATCTTAAAAAGAAAAGGGTCACTTTCTTTTACTACAAAACTTGGAGCCAGTACAAATTGAGGAACCAAGAAAAATGGCTTCCTAATGGCCCAATTACAGCACAAGCCTCCAATCTGATCTCTTTTGCTCTTCCTTATGCTCAGACCTTTATGGCGCTCAGTCAGGTTCCAGATCTAAGAGACTCACGCCACATGTGTCTTTCTGTTGCTGCCCTACCCCCTCGTTCCCCTCTGTCTCTCCCTACACCTGATATCCTGGGCCAGGACTTTGTCCTATAGTCAAAAGCCTGGAAAAAACTCTCCTAAAATTCTAAAGAATCCCCTTCTAACTCCTCCTGTCTCTTGGGGCAGATGGGTGGGAGAGAAGGAAGTGGGAACAGAACCAAGCTTCTTCTATTTTTACAGGTTCCCTTACTCCTTCAGATTCTTCTGATCAAACCAAAACCCAGCCATCCCAGAGGAACAATCCCTGCTGGGATAAGTTAATCCGCACCTGTGACCAGAGCCAATGTGAATTTGAACACTCTCCAATTTAAAAATTTAAGCTACAAGACTATGACCACAGAAAGGAAAAAGACAATATAGCCATGATATTCTTTAGAATCCGGAAAAAAACTTGTTAAAATGAAATCTTTTTGAAATTGCAAAACTATTTCTTTTTGCACATGCAATTAGGAAAAAGCTGGCTTGTTAAGATTTTTTTTGGAGTTCTGACCCTGCCTGAGAAGCAAAAACATTCCTAGGGAAAAAACTGAAGTTAACTCTTTTCATGTCCTTGAGATACACAGCCCACTCTGCCTGAGACTCCAGCTGAGAGCAAATTTGTAGAACTTCAAGCCGAAGTGAAAAAGGGAGCAAAGGGACATTTTAAATCTCAAGTGGAAAACGATGAGATCTCTGTCTGTCCAGATATATGCATGCCTCAGTGTGTGTCTTTGATTTGGAGAATATTGTTGAGGTTAATTTGTCAATGAGCTCTATTTAATTGGCCTGAAGAAAAGTAGGGCTTCTCTGGTGGCTCAGACGGTAAAGAATCTGCCCATAATGCAGGAGACCCAAGTTCAATCCCTGGGTCGGGAAGATCCCCTGGAGACGGGAATGGCTACCCACGCCAGTATTCTTGCCTGGAGAATTCCATGGACAGAGGAGCCTGGTGGGCTACAGTCCATGAGGTTGTGAAGAGTCAGACACAACTGAGCAACTAAAACACATACACAAAATAAGCGTTTATAAATCAAGAGATTCTGAATTCAGGAAAAATTAAACTAAATGAATTTCAGGATCATGTAAACTGGGAAGTATTCACTATTACGTTAATCGGTTCAGTTCAATTGCTCAATCGTGTCTGACTCTGCAACCCCATGGACTACAGCATGCTAGGCTCCTTTCCCAAGTTGGAATCAGTCTGTTGTTCCATGTCTGGTTCTAACTGCTGCTTCTTGATCCACATACAGATTTCTCAGGAGACAGGTAAGGTGGTCTGATATGCCCATCTCTTTAAGAATTTTCCATAATTTGCTGTGATCCACACAGTCAAAGGCTTTGGCATAGTAAATAAAGCAGAAGTAGATGTTTTTCTGGAACTCTCTTGTGTTTTCAATGATCCAACGGATGTTGGCAATTTGATCTCTGGTTCCTCTACCTTTTCTAAATCCAGCTTCAACATATGGAAGTTCTTGGTTCACGTATGTTGAAGCCTGGCTTGGAGAATTTTGATCATGACTTTACTAGCGATTACTAGTGCAATGGTGCGCTAGTTTGAACATCCTTTGGCATTGCCTTTCTTTGGAGTTGGAATGAAAACTGATCTTTTCCAGTCCTGTGGTTACTGCTGGGTTTTTGAAATTTGCTGGCATATTGAGTAGAGCACTTTCACAGAATAATCTTTTAAGATTTGAAATAGCTTAACTGGAATTCTATCACCTCCACTAGCTTTGTTTGTAGTGATGCTTCCTAAGGTCCACTTGACTTCGCATTCCAAGATGTCTGGCTCTAGGTGAGTGATCACAGCATCATGGTTGTCTGGGTCATGAAGATATACCCATTTGAATGCAGAGTTCCGAAGAATAGCAAGGTGAGATAAGAAAGTCTTCTTCAGTGATCAATGCAAAGAAATAGAGGAAAACAATAGAATGGGAAAGACTAGAGATCTCTTCAAGAAAATTAGATATACCAAGGGAACATGTCATGCAAAGATGGGCACAATAAAGGACAGAAATGGTATGGACCTAACAGATGCAGACGATATTAAGAGGAGGTGGCAACAATACACAGAAGAACTGTACAAAAAAGATCTTCATGACTCAGATAACCACGATGGTGTGATCACTCACCTAGGGCCAGACATCCGGAACAACGTTATCAGGTAAACAAAAAGACTGTCTCAAAGAAATCTCAAAGTATAGTGGGGACCTCTAGAAGAAAAAATCCACCTCAACAAAAACTGATGACAGACCTATGACATCTATAGTCAATGGACCAAACATATTAAAAACAAATTAGTCTTGGCTGTGTTTAACAAAAATTAGGATAATGGTAGGAACAAATTTGTCTCACCAAATATTAAATCCTAGTTTT